CCATGGCCCGAGCCGAAGGCGCCGCCGGCCCCGGAGCGCGCGCGGCCTCTGCGCTTGGCGCGGCCGCTCAAGAAGGAGAAGAAGGCGCAGCCCAGGAACACTCGGAAGCAGCAGGTCGCCCCGAACACGAAGCCGCAGCCGCGGCCCTCCTCCGTGCGCTTCTGCAGCAGGAAGTTGAGCACCCACGAGGGGCTGCGCACCGAGAAGACCAGGAAGACCACGAGGGGCAGGTGGGCGCTCAGCGCGCCAGCCTTGGCCGGCCCGGGCCGCCACACGACGCCCCCGACGCGTGGCGCTGCGTAGTACGCGTCGTCCTCGTCTCCCGAGTCCGTGTCCCACGCGGCCCAGGCCCTACTCGTGCCCCCGGTGGCGGCGCCCTCGGCGCCCCCGGCGGCGCCCTCCTCGGCGCCCTCGTCTTCGGCGGCGGCGGCGGCGCCGGCCGCGGGGCCTCGGGCCTCCTCCCGGGCTTGTGGCACCTTCTTCATCTTCTTCCTCAGCATCTTCTCCAACTTCTTCATCTCCTTCTCCCTCTTCTTCTCTTCTTTTCTCCTCTGCTCCAGCAGTTTCTTCTCGATCTTCCTGCGCTCCTTTTCGGTGGGGAACTTTTCGGGGGGCACCTCCCGCGCCGCGCTCTTCGGGGGCTTCGCGCTCTTTGCGGTCTTCTCGGGGTCCCCGCGCTTCCTCGGGGCGAGGGGCTCTTCCTGCCCGGCCAGCGCCGCAGCCGCCGCGGCAGCTTCGGCAGCCACCTCGGCAGCCGCCGCGGCTGTCTTCCTCTCGCTCTCCGCGGCCACTCGGGCTTTGAGCTTCATAGCCATCTTCAGCATGGTGGCCCGGCCACCGCGGGAAGCCCGGCTCCTCGCGCCGGGCCCGGGCGCCCTGCTTGCCCCCGGCCTCGGGCTGTCCTGCCCCGGTGCGCCCCGTGTCGGGCTGGTGATGGGGGTCAGCTGCGGTCCCCGCTGCGCTGCTCCGGGGCGCAGAGCACGGCTGCCCGGACCTGGGGCTCCTGGGCTGGCTGCCTAAGAGTTAGCGTCAAAAGAATAAGCAAATGAATAAAAGGTGAAAACAAACCAAAAAGCACCCAACAACAGCGAGAAATCAAAAAGCACCGAGAAATGTCAAACAACTCAAAAAAGAAAAGTGCAAAGGCGCGATGACACGAGTTTGCTGTTACCCTCAGGCGCTCCTTGGTTAGGTCTTGGGCACGCACGCCAATGGAGAAGAGAAGAGAGAAAAGAGAGAATTGGGGGTTGCCCGGCAGGCGCGGGGCAGAGCAGCAGCGCCGGGGCGCCCCTGCCCTGTCCCAGCCTCGGTGGCTCTTGCCCGCGCCGGGCGACTCGCACTTCCGCGGGTGGCCCCTGCGCTCCCCGACTTACATGTGAGTGAGGTGCACTCACACGCAAGGCAGTGCCTGCCTGCCTGCCAGCCGCCCGCCGCCGCCCCGAGCCGCGCCGGGACAGGGGTTCGCTCCAGCCGCGGTGCCGCAGCCCAGAGCCGGAGAGCGGGCAGCGCCGCCCGAGGCCAGCCACCCGACGCAGCCCGCTCCGCGGTGCCGACGCGACTGAGTGTCCCCGCCGGGGAGCAGCGCTTTCTAACCGGCCTGATGACGCCCCAGCCTCTTCAGAGGACCGACCCATAGCAGTGGCCCCTATAAACCGAAGGGGAAGCACGAAAAATCGGCCCACCGAGGACGCACCCAAACGGGCCGCGTCGCAGCCCCGGGGTGCGCGCCGGTGCCGGGGCAGCGCGGGTGTGGGCAGGGGGCGCGGGGGGCAGCGTGGAGGCGAGTGCGGGCTCGCCCAAGACGGTGGGCGCCCGACCCCGCCTCCCAGACCTGCCTCCCAATTTTCGGTGAGTGGTGTAGCCCTGGGCGGCGTGCAAAGTGTGCGACGGCGGCGCTTACCCCTGCTGTGCGCCTCCTTACCTCCAGCTTCCCGGTTAGCGCACGCGGGGACCGTCACCCACCCCGCCCTCCCAGTGGCGCGTGCCCGCGGAGGTGGGTGTCCGCAGAGCCTAACTAATCGCGACGCCTGGACGGGGTTTCTGATCATCCGGTGAGAAGCCCCCGCGTGAGGGCAAAACTAGCATTTCTAGAAGAAGCAGGCGGGCGACACAGAACCGAGGAGTGGTGGCCAGGGCGTGGAGTCGGTGCATGGGTTGGCCTCCCAGGTGGGAGAGGCGGTGGCCCAGCCTGGGCGCCAGGAGGGGCTCTGGAAGAGAGGAAAAGTAGTTTATTGAACTTGAAGTTGTTTAGAGATTGTTTCAAAACTATCCCGCCGCCTCTCTGGTCTCCCACTAGGACATGGCAGAGAGCACTGGTCAGGGCAAGGACACTAAGTTTTCGACCAGCTTGCCCTAGCTCACTTTTCCTGGGACCTTGCTTGGGTCACCTGTTGCTCTACAGGCATGTGCATGGGTATCTCTGATTCATTCATTCATTCATTCAACAACTCTTTGGTCCAGCCCACTTGTGCCCAGGTGGCCTGGGGTGCCAGATGGCCAGGTGAAGACATGGAGCCTGCTTTGAATAGGACACAGGCCTATAGTATGTGTCAGCAAACCCAGATCTGCAAAGTCATCACAAACTTTTCCAAGTTTTAACTTTCTTTGACTTTTCCACAGATTTAAGAGAATCTGAGATTTGCGGGGGTGGGGAGGGTAGTCTGCCTATAAACGCAAACATACCAAACATTCCCCGAGGTGTGCGGGGAAATTGTTTGATACTTCCAGAGGCTCACAGTTTTGAGTAGCTCTGAAAACAGAAAAGACACCACTAACCACTCAACAGGACTACCGAGCCCCTCCTTTCTCTCAAGTTTGCTCAACTCAAAGTAAGAAAAAGTGTGACAGATGTTCCAGGTTATTTTTCTTCACCCCTTCAGTTACACCTCTAACCCTCATTCTACAACGCCCCCCCCCTTTTTATGAGTCCGAAAGGACAACAGAGAGCAATTCAAAGTCACCAAAGTATTCTTGGAATTAAGAACAGGAAGCCAAGCCTAGGAGTCAGACCCTCACCTGCAGACCTGCCCTGCCCGGCTGGAAATGCGGGTCTCTAACTTTCTCAAACTGCTGCGAAGTTTCTGCTCTGCTTAGGACCTCTCTTCCATACAAGAATGTACCTACTTTTGAAAAAAAGAGCAAAGGCGCTACTGTTCTAGACTGATGCTTTCCCCCTAAAGAGAAGTGGATACAAATGTTTAACTGATGCCCCAAAAGTGCTGGTATGAAAACATTCATGGCAGGGAGGCCTTCTCGTCAATGACTGGAGAGATCATGACTCACTGCTGTTCACCAACTCAGTTAGTGCCTACTTAAAGACAAGGCTGAGGTTTTACATATTTATATATTAAATAAAAGCTCTGTAGTTGAATTTGAGTCATTATCAATTGTCATGTTTAAAAATTGATAACAGACTTACAAGAGGGAGGAACTGCCCAGAAATTTTTGTTATGCTCCATTTATTTGAAAGTATCTTCCTGCTTCTAATGTGGCAAAGCACAAATACACTGTATTTAAAAGGTACAAAGTAAATAGTAACCAATACAACTTCGATACTTATGCCAGTAGCTACACAGTTATACAATGACTATAGTGAAGAGTCGCCTTATTTGGAAGTCCCTGAGTTGGGTTACTGCCTTCCCTTTTTAGATAAATATCACACCTGAACTTTAAAAGGAGTGAAACTGTCCCATACACTGACACATGTTCTAGGCAAGGCACAATTGGGACCATTGTCCTGGAAGTGCGTAACGTAAGGTCAGCTTATATTTCTTTCAGCTCCTAACCTGGCACGCTGTCCTTGCAAAACAAAATTTATTAAGTGTAGGTTTTGCTTATATTTTATTATGATTAACCATGGATGGACAAATAGAGCATTTACTTTGTAAATAAATGGCAGCAGGTGGAATCAAGAGTTTACAGGTAAGCAGATGACACCAAGAGCTCTGAAACACAGGCTGGCTTGTGGTGTGTTCAGTTTTCTTGTTTTCACTGGACACAAAGTGAAAGAAGAGCTTTTACTTAATTGTTCTGGTGAGCTGACAGCATCGACAGTTTTTGGCCTCCCATTTGACCTACCTGGGCCCCAAAGTTATAATCTTTTTTTTTTTTTTTAAATCTTTCCCATTTAGAGCTTAACATGTGTGACCATGTCATATGAATTAGTAATTTAATAGGTTATTGCTATTTTTAAGTACCTAGTTTATGCCATGACAGTAGAATAATCCATAGTATCATTCTTACAGGATCCACACCAGAGACTTTTCTGGTGGAGGGGCCCCTCATTTGGCTCAGAAGAGATGGAAGTTATGGAAACTTCAGGCTACAGGAAGAGGCAGAGGGCCAAAATGTCCTGGACGTGAAATACTCAGGGAGGGCCCTGGTCGCTCCCTGGCTCAGGTGACTTGCATGCTCCAGCCAGCAAGTGGAGATAATAACATGTCCCTAATCTGAAAACACTGGGTCACCTAGTGATACAACTTAGTCAAACAGATGGTGTCACAGATCTCACAGAGAGATGGCCTAGCAACATTTCTCTCCAATATTCTATTTTGTGCAACAGTGGATGAATTCACAAGTTGGGGTTTAAATTTTGTGGCCTTGTAAATTTCGTATTTATGGATGGAGTGTGTGTTCCTTGGCTCCTTCGCATCTTCCTTTTGGAGTAAGAATGCCTTGTCTGCTTTTAGAAGCAACAGAATTGCTACATTTTAGAATCTTGAAAATATTATATTTAATGATGTAATTCAGTTTTTGGACACACGTGTTCTCCTTGGCCTTTCATTAGTTGGGGTCACTGTAAGCCATTTTCCAAGAGCTCGGAGAAAATATAATTATAATATTATTTTAATAGCCTAGGAAACAATAAATAGGTTTCCACTGAAACAGAAACTTTAGCTGTGAGGTTTTAATAATAGTATTTAGTGCTTCCACACTGCTTTCTGTCTTCAAAGCACAATCTGCACTTTAATTAACTAGAACAACTGACTGAAACTGTTACTGCAAATAAATGTTACTTGAAACCTATGCTGCATAGAAGAGATGAAAGCAGGTATTGTATAAAACATTTTCTCCTCCTAGTTAGCCCCTGTAAGAAGGTTCTCTTACTTAAGACCATAAAAATTCTTTAAAATCTAATAGAGTGATCATCTAGAGCATTTTTTTCTTGTCCTCTTCACCAGTTAGTAATTTCAGCCACAAATTAACCCTGAACTTACATTCAAAAGTAAAGGTGATGTTAAACTTCATTTCAGGGCTGGGGATATAGCTCAGTGGCAAAAGCGCCTGCCTGGCAAGCGCAAGGTCATGAGTTCGATCCCTGGTACCGCAAAAGAAAAAAAAAAAAAACCCTTCATTTCAGAAGACCTAAGTCAACCACCAACGAATCAAGTACATGGCCAAGTAAAATTTCCCTATTTACTATTCATCAATTAATTTAAAAATGTGTCTTTCATTTAGAATATGCCCTCCCTCTAGTGCAAACTGAATGTGGAGATGCACTGCCCAGTGTATTTGGACCTAATTGCTAAAGCCAGGGGCTTTGCATTGCTCTTGATACATCTACTTAAAACCGTCCCACACAACTTGAGGTGGACCGGGACATTTTGCAGCTTTCAGAGATTGCTTCTGACTCTTATGGGCAGGCACCACCTACGAGAAATAATTTGTGGTCTTCACAGTTGCCAAATTCCCAAGGCCCTTGGTGCCTCTCTCACCATCTCCCTGTAAGCCCCAGAGTAGGCGGAAGGTGACTTTAAACAAAAGCACCATTGACGCTACGTGTGGAAAAGCGAACGAGGAGACCGTGTGGATTACTGCTGTCCTCTTACAGCCTCAGCTAAAAGACACGATGTGCACGTTGCCTTTGGTTGAAGATTCTACAGAGACAAACAACTTGGATAAGAAGTAGGAGAGAAACAGACCCAAGAGCAAACCAAAAGGGAGGCCCTTTTGCAGAACACGGCGTCAGCACAAATGATTAACTCTAAAACTAAAGGTAAAGTCCACGACCAACACTGAGTCAGCCCCTTTCTCTTATGGACACATCCATAACAACAGCCCCCTGGCCCCACTTAATGGATATCTTAATTGAGCAAAAGAATATTAAAGAGCTCCACACTCCACAGCAGGAAAATTAATCTTCCTAAACTAAAATATCCTCCACTTCCCCTGGGAAGAAAATTTCATGAGGACTAAGGTAATGGGAAAACCTGTTGCTTAGAACTTTTAAGTTGGCCTTGAAGATGGAAACTCATCCAGAATGGGGGATAATGCGGGGAGACTGATTAAAAATAGGCCTGAACCCGCTGACCTTTGTTTTCATCTACAAGATTCCTTAATTCGATGGCACTTTGATCTTACTAAACAAAACATCCATCGGTGCAACTGGAGATGTGATGCTGAAATTGTAAAGACATTTTCTTAGGTAAAAGAAACTTTTTCATGGCTCTTCTTTCAAAGATTTTTTTTTTTTAAACATGATAGTCAATTCTTCATAATTAGCCCTAAATGTAGAGTTAGAAAGTGAAAAATCTGATGAGGCAGCAAATTTGAGAGCTAACTGTTCCTTTGTAGATATACAAAAGCGAAAAATGACTGCATAGAAGTTTTACATGTTTAGTTCTTCCTTTCAAAGAACTTTACGATCAGCAACTAGCCTCCCTTTGAGTCACCTGAGATGCTGACGGGGCCACAGTGCTATTTGCCTTCCCTCCTGGCTGAAACCGCCCTCGCTAGGTCCGCTCCATCTGCTGCTGGTAAAGCAAGTTAAGCAATTAATGTGACAGCATTAGCCCCACGTTTAGTTCACCTGGGAATGCAGGTACCTTTCCCTCTTTTCGTCTTTGCTCACACACGTTCAGGTTCAGATTGACAAATGTGGGATTATAACTCAGTACCACCTATTTCCCTGGGTTTTTATTTGGAGGGGGAACACTCCACTGGGGCACAAACTGCACAGCTCTCAAGGAGAAGGCCCTTGTCCCCTGCAGGTGGCCCAGTGCAAGCCCCAGCCTGCCTCTGCCGCGCTGCCGGTCAGCTTCCATTTGGTCACCATTCGGTGTCTGCTGGGAAGCCCAGCACCCTTGCCTTCACTACCTCGCTCGGCAGTTTGCTGAGGGCTTGGCGTGCTCACAGCACCCTTGCTGGTCCACGCGGAGCCCGCTCAACAGCAGCACCCAACGGGCCTGCGGCTTTCTGAGGTCTCTGCCGACCTCTGGAAGTTACGAGAAAATTATGTAGCCAAAGCATCAAGCATTTGCAACCAGTCTGGGGATAGGATGAAAAGATGTTTTTATGAGCTGCAGACCTCAGCTCTACCCACAGCCACGTCCCGAGGTCTCTGCTCTCTGCCCAGTACTGGGAAAGCTGCCTCAACCCACTTTCCTGAACATTCCTGTCTCTCCCTCGCTTTAGTCTCTACGAACTTCTCAGATTACCGCTCCTTTCGTGCTAATTACACCAAAAAAATTGAAAGAATGTCGCTGACTTTACAAAGAACACAAAGCAGATTTGCTTTAAAAACTAAATATAGCCAGTTTCTTTCAGAAGGCAGGGGACTCTGTCTTCAAACAATTTGTAGGATGGGGATTAATCGCAGATGGCCCATTCATTTATTAAGATCCAGGTGACAGAGGGGCCCTGCTCTTGAGAGGACATGCAAAAAAAAAAAACGTGTGTTGCTTTTGGGAACCATTTAGATAAAGTGAAAAGTTCTGATTGATGATGAACTTTCTCTCAGCACTTAGTTGTAAGTGAAGATTTGCCAAGGATGATGGGCTAATTTAAAATACCGCGGCAAGAGGAAAGAAACGGGAGCCACCAACCGTAGAAAGCAGTGCTTGTCTGGAGAAAGGAGAACTTGTACTATGCAGGTGAAAATATAAATAAAAAGAAAATCTAACTGCTTATTTTGGAAGGCTGCGGCTGCTCGAGAGCAGGACGATGTTGTTTTTTCTAGCCCCTGTGTGTAAGAAATAGCCTTTTAAGAGACAGAATTCAAAAGGGTATATTAGCCCCATTAGCCAAGCAAATTATGGATTCCCCTCTCCCCAAAAAACCCCCTAAGGGTTAATAGGTGAACAGTAGCAGCTTGGAATGATTTATTTTTTCTAAGGAACATGAAATACTGAATTGCTCATGCTGAAATAATGCTACAGCTGTGATCCATGGGGCTGAATTTGGGCACTGGCTGAAGTGACAGGTGTACTCATTGTATGCCCAGCTTGGCTGAAATCATGATGCCCAACTCAAATTTTTCCCCAATTAACTGGTGGTGACTCTGGAGTCAGCCAGGAAAGATCCTTTGGCCATGTGTGCTCAACCTTCAACAAAAATGTCAGCCTTGGGAGAGAATGGAACTGTGGCTCCCTTATCAAAGAACAAGTAAATCAAGATGGCCTGCAATGTTCAGGAAAGCAGGACAAAGAGAAGATCTAATCAGGACCAAACCCTCCTAGGTTCTAAAGCAAACATGTCTGTCCTACAGTTGAGCTCTTAGAGGATTTCAGCCATCACAGCAAGCCTAGGATTCTAGGAAATGTGTCACAAAAATTGATATTATTAAAGGAAGTTGCACAAAGATAGACATGTAGCATCTAAGGTACAGTGTACTAATTATACCTATTTTTATCCCAGGGTTACAGTGACCGAAGGCTAAGAAGTAAAGACTCTGGAAAACTAGCCCTTCACCTATAGAAGACATGAATGCCTTGTTGGAAGTAGGAATGGGGTAAAGCTTACTCTGGCTTCTTTGGTTTAACCCAAGGTGAGAAATCAGCAGTCATCTAGGCAGGCAGTGGATTTTCTGAGAACTTGGAAACAGGGTAGATTGGCAGATGGTTGTAGACTAAACCTTGGGAGTTCTGGTGTGATATCAGCATGCTTCTACAAAGGCAACTCAGAAATGTCAAAGACCAGCCTGAGTGAACTGCCCTGGTTAGGAGAGGGAAGCAAGAAGGCTAAGCAAGAGCTGGCTAAGTCAAGATGGCCCTACACAAAGCTCTGTTTGGTCCATTTCACTGACAGCAAAGGTCCTGGATCCTAACCCGTCACAATGGTGCCAGCTGGCTGAACCATACAAAGGAAGTCAATATAAAACTTAGGCAGGGCCAAGAGACATCTGATTTCATAGTTAAATGGATTTTCCATTCACTCACAACCATTGAAGGTACCCCAAAGTCTAAAAAGCTACATGTCCCAAATTGATGTTAATTAACCCACACTACTGAGAAGTGCCCAGAACGGGGTAATTCAAAGTCATCCTCAGCTTGAGAAGTGAAGTTCTTAAGTAGTATTTTTGTGTGTATGTATCATTACTTCAGATTCACCGTTTCATGAGCTCCCATGAGTTAACTGAAAGAACATGAAAATCCAAATGTTGACTAGTGTGCCTCCCCTAAAAAACAATATTTTAATTGTAAGTATAAAATGCCTTTATATTTCATTTATTTTGTTTTCCTCAAGTTGACAAAGTTATGTACCTACTAGATTTACTGGGGACCAGAGAAGCAAAAAAAAAAAAAGGGGGAAACTTTCAAAACAAGAAAGAAAATGAAAAAAGACAGTTGCTAAATAATAGACCTCTATAGCAAGCATTTAGTTTCTCAAATGGATGGCAAAGAAAGAGATTTTGAGAGAAGAAAAAGGATGCTTAAGTTTTTGAAATGTGTAAAGCAAAATAGCAGATCTGCAAAGGAAGAGGGGGAAAAGCCACTGGCAACCTGAAAACCCCAGGGAAACAAACAAAAAGAATCACTGTAGTTTATAGTAATTGAATCCTTGCTAGTATCTGATGATTCTGTGAAGTGCCAGCTGTCACTCTTTTCCTTTCAGAAACATGACATTCATTTGTCTAGCAAAGACCCATTATTATAGTTCTGAGGTCTGCTTAATGGGGCTACTAATAAATCTAAGTCATCAATTCTTGACCTTCTTCTCCCGCTCTAAAATTCTCAGTGGTAAAGGGGTAAAAACACATTTTCAAGGTTCTGTGACGGTAACATAGAAATAAAAGATCAAGGCTAGGCTCCAGTGGTCTGATCACACCTGGGCTCTATCCTGCTTATACCCCAAGTGAAAACAAGTAAGACAGACCAAGAACAGCATCTGGGGGAGATACCAATATTTTTCTTTGGCCTGAGCCATTCGCAAATAGAAATCAAGTGCCGAGACAGAAGCACAAAGGGAGAGATGTACCAGGGAGCCATTACCTTCCACCTCTCTGCAGCCCCTTCCTTCCCACCTCCTTGGCTTTCTACTTTACTGAGAGATCAAGAGGGAAAAAAAGGCCAGTCAAGGGGGATCTAAATTGTCTATGCAGATGTGAAGGAAGGATAGAATTGATTATCCAGTCTCAGTCTTGGCGACTTTGAGATAAGGATAGGGTGGGGGTCAGCTTTTTCAAGAAACAAAACCATGGGTATTTTTCTCTTTCTATGAAAGCAACACTTATGCTTCTTTTTTCACTAGCTGGATTGAGCTGGCTGTGACCTAAGACAAAATGAGGGTGGGTGGCTTCAGCTTTCTCTAAATTCTAAGATGGCTGCAGGCACTAGACAAATCTTGACTCTGATAATGTTGCTGAGAGTTTAGCTCTAAAGATTCTCTCCCCACTGCTTGCCTCCTATGCCTTCCCGGAGGGACCAGCCTGCTCCTTCATCCCCATCGCCCCCCTGCAGCAGACTTTACATGGCTACTGCAGAGAAGGCGGAAGACTCGTGCACAGGCTGGTTTGGAGGTCTGCTTTCTCTGATTCCCATAGCACTGAGAGACTGCATTGGGGCGACGGCAGGGCAGCTGCATGGATGAGCTGATCTGTTCAAATATTCAGGCAAATTAGTTATTTGAACACAAAACATCCAGATGCTTTTTCCCCACTGAACTTTCTCCAAATTGATTGGAGCTTTGGTGCCAAGAAGACAAAAAACTCAACTCAGAAAGGTCACCAGAATAGGAAAGGTGTGGATGATGAAAAGCTACAGGACTAGTATGAAGCACTACATATTTCTAGCAATGAAAATCTGAGTTTCTAAATTGTGCTAAATGGCTCAAAATTTATCAGAGCAAAGCTACAGATGAAAGGATGGATCTTTTTAAAGATTATATTGTCCCTGTTTATTTGGCTTTGCTGCTACCAGAAAGTGGCTGGGAACACTCTCTTCAGGGCTCTATAAAATGTAAATGGTCTAAATTAAGAAGCCATCTAATCTCAACCAATATTAATTCTGATATGAAAAATGAGACCAATTCTTCAGATGCGATTACGATCTTTACAGCCTAACATTAACAGATGACCTCGCTTTGTTTCTCAAACACCTGCATATTTTCCTTTTCCAAAATGCCTATTTATTTTTAAGAGGGAGCAAATATCCTAATACTTTACTTCTTCTAACATTGAAAGTATACCTCCTCCTGATGTGGGCTTCCCGTCCCTCAGGCTGGGTGCACCCCTATATGTGATTTATCTGGATATGTTTCCCTCCAAACTATAGTCATTCTAAAATAAAATCTCTAAGCAGCGTCAGGATGGCAAGAGAGGATGCTATCCTAGGGTCTCTCTCTTTTTAGACTGAAATGCTGACTCCTAATATTGCCTTGCAAATGGGAAAAAAGAAAAAATAAACAGGTTCTAACATATTTTTTTTAAGTCTTTCCCCATAAACAGATCCAGTAAAAGCAGACAGCTCCTCCATCTCTACGGTAGGCGAAGTCACTGAGACAGGGCAGGGAACAGGTCCCCCCTCGGACTTGGCATAGATGGGGAGACCACGCTGCCCTGGGTTAGGGAGCCCCCGGTGCACCCCCGCCTCACTATTTCAAGACCACTTCTCCTCCGGTAAGATTCTGCAGCTGCTTCACTCTGCTTGTTAATCTTCTTACTAAGTGTAGAAAATAAAGTGGTTTTACTCCTAAATGTCCATAATTCACCTACCACAAAGCCCCAAGTCCCTGCTGTTTCATTATCAGTTGCCCGCTAATAATAATCAAAATTAGAAGTGTCTCCAGCAGGGTGACAATTGAGTGAGGAGAAGAAGGAACCCCGGAAAAACCACAGATCGCCCGGGGCAGTTGCTGCCTAGTGTGCCTGCTTGGGGAGGGGGGTGTGAAGCTGCCAATCAGAGTTTAATTCAAGGCCAGGGGCTCTCCAGGCGCCCACCGCACTTCTAACATGGACACCGAGCCCGCAGCACCGCTTGTACAAAGGCAGCGAGCGTGCGGGCTCGAGCCATCTCTCCGGCTCTGTGCGATTCTGCGCTGGAGGCTCGCAAAGCAGCGGCACTTCACGTTGCCTGTCAGGAAAAAGCCCCCGAGCTGAGAGCTGAAGAGGGAGGGGAGAGCATGGGCCAAGTCATCCCCCTTCTGTAGCTGTTTTCCTTCTGTTCCCTTTATCCCCCTAGGGTCCTCATAGCTAACCTGGATGCACTTGGGTACTCCTTTCCTTAGATTCCCGTTTCCAGAAGCGAAGGCTTTTTTCAGCTCTGAGAGAGGGGCTACGATTTGTTTCTTCCTGGACACTATCAGCTCAGCATCCCTGGGCTCCCTTTCAGGGTTAGAGGAGCCCAGTGGGTGCTTAAATCAGAGATTTGGGCAGGATTATTACAAGAGCAGAGATGGAAAGGAGAGGGGGCTTTACTTTTGCTTGAGCCGAATGTGGCCTCTCGGCATCTGGCTCTGCAGCTCTTTCCCCAGCCCTGAAACATGGCTTCTGCCTGCCGAAGTATTCGTCCCAGGCCTCTGGCTCTGTCCCTATCTCCAGTCCCCATGCCCCGGAATGTCCACGGGGACTCACATCTGACCTAGCACCTGATGCTGAAGAAAAACATGATCTTCCAACAATGGGGGTGTGTGGCCACTTGAGAGCCCTCCAGCCGGTGGAGCGGCTTGACCTCCCCACGGGGTAAAATCACATCTTGCCCCACAGAGGGAAAGGAAGAAGCCTGCATCTAGCAGGGTGTGCATCTTTGCCTGCAGGCTTTTGCTTTCACAATTCCCTCTGGCTGAACGTAGCAAGGTGGCCTGAAGACCTGGCTGGCTGTGCACACTGCAGAGGGGCTGGGCTCCCCCTCCAAGTGCATCCATCACTCACAGTGACAGCTGCCTTGCACTCTGCACCCCAGCAGCCCACATCCCTTTCAGAGGCCCCCTCCCTTCCCCCACCACAAGCCTCCTCTGTAAAAACCAAAAAAAAAACACCTTGTTCTTTCATCATAATTAAAGAGCTGTCAGGGAAATGGCATCGCTGATTTTTTGCTGCTGTTGAAATGACCCTCCTCTCCATCCCGCTTCTCATTTGCTAAAGTGGTCCTTTCTCTACCTAAAATCTGGCCCTTTGGTGATGGAAATTTTAGCTAGAAACAGAGCGTTCTAAGCAGAGTCCTAAGCTTGGGAGGGTGGGGAGAGAAATCGATGCTTTGAGCCGGCCTCTGTCTGCAGCAAGGTGCCGGCAAGGCTGGTCTCATCGGCGGTGGGAACAGTGGCGGCAGCTACCTCTGGGCTTTAGGTCCACGCAGGGCCACCCAGTTGTAAATCCTTGTCAGGGGACACAATTTAGCAAAACTTAGAGGCTGATTCTCCCTGTTGTCTTAGCTAAGGGACAGGAGGAAGCTATTTACAAGGAAGTGGAGAGGTCTGATCAGGGGAAGATAAAATCCAAATGCCTTTCATGCTCCGAGGGAAAACTGCGTGTTGAGTATCATCGCCAGCCTGCATGCTTGTGTCTTTGAAATAAAGCTATAATGTACACATGGAATTAATCGCCCTCACCCTGCGGACTGTCGCTGAGCCACACAAAGGGTACTTTCTGTATCATGGATGCTGCAGCATTCAGGGGTCTTTCTGGAATCTCATCTCATTTTGTGACAGTGTTGTTCTCATCCTGTTAGCCATCCCAGAACTTTTTGAAAGGCACTTTTCAGGAGGATGACAGTCAAAAAACAAAACCAAACAGAACAGAACCCACAGACCTGAGTGATACTGAGCGCTGCCTTTAGGAACCATGACATACGTTCAAATATATATTACAGGGAATTCATAATATTCATTCTAGCCTTCAACTCCTTACATGTGAGGGAAACTAAAGTGTCAGGAGCTTTCAAAATTAGCTTAATTTCCTGTTCCTAAAGATCATGCATCTAGAAAAGGCCCTCTTTAAGTTACACTGGGGAGCTTAATTGGCAAGCTTTCGGGTTTCTACACGGGTATGCTAATATCTGGCAAGTCAGAATGGCAATCCAGGCCTCCCTCAACTGAATCACTAGTTGTTAATACACCTCTGAGCAACTCTGAGCTAAGGTGCGAAACCAACCCAAGTGTCACTGAGCACCCGCTGTTTCTCCTCTGGCTATAACCATAGGACAGTGTGTGCGTGGGGGGGGGGGGCAGCTTATGTAACAGACACCTGAGTTGTTTTGCTGCTCGTCTGCCGACCTGGCCTCCCTGTTTCTGGCTTCCCTGTTTCTTTTCCTTCATGCCCCCCCACCCTACATTCATCTCCATTTTAGAGAAAGCCAAGCAACTGTAGAGTACTGAAGCTTCCTTTATTTCCTGACTAGTCTATGTGTCACAGCCGTGGACACTAAAGAAACAGGGCTTGTCCTTATCAACCTGAGCCTGAATGAGTCAATCATCCCGATGGCTGTGATAGGACCTGGCTCGTGCCACTTGAATAGGGTGCACCTGGCTGCCAGGCCCGAAGTCCTGGGGTAGCAGGGGAGGGATGTTGTTCACTGCACTGGGGGCTGCTAGGCGATCAGAGATGGTAGGGGAGAAGGAGAGGGGGAGCTCAGGTTATTGCCAAATGCCCCTCCCCTTTCCTCCCCCAGGCTTCCTGTTAGAATTCTACTCCTGAGGCCCTCGTCATTAAAAATGTGACTCTCCCGCTTTTGGGCCTCACGGAGTTCTTTATTAAAATGCAAATGTCCCTTAAGAGTAACCCCATGAGCCCCTGCCAGCTAATGGGATTAACTGAACAGAACACAGCCACCTGCAGAGGGGTAGAGAGGCCAGGGCCCAAACCTCCACTTCTCGTATTTGCCACGGGCTCATCCGTGAGTGCCCAGCCACAAAATTCAGACATTCCTGCTTCGGTTCTCTCGGAGGGGTGGCCATTTTTAAGAAGCAAACAAAATTTAATAATTCTATAAACCTGAATTGTACTTACTATGGAACAAAATTTACCCAGAAAACCTTCAGTTCAGCAAAAACAACTCTTGTCCTATTTCTAATATTTAAAAAACCTATCTGTATATACACATGCATACTATAAAGATATATATTTTATATAGCTTGAAAAGACTCTAAGATATCATATGCTGAGCATTGCAGAGACCTATAAGATGCATTATTCTAATGGTAATACATAGATAAGGTAAAAGTATTTGTGAAAGGACAGTTGAAAATATAGCTCTGGATATTGAAAGTATATTTTCCTTTCTACAGATTGGGAATTAATGACAGTATTTTAATACAAACTACCTCTGCTTTAGGGAACATAAAAAAGAAAACCAAAGCCCAGGATCTAAGAGGGAGAACTGGAGCTAAGCTGGAAATCAGATTCTAAAATGGAGGATTAGAACTAAGCTAACATAGAGGGCTGGAGCTAGGATAGAAAGCAGAATCAGGATCTAAGATGGAGGACTGGAGCTAAAATGGAGGACTGCAGCTAAGGTGGAAGTCCGGTTTTAAGACAGAGGGCAGGTCAAGATCCAAGATGGAAGGCTGGGGCTAAAATGGAGGGTTAGAGCTAAGATGACGGGCTGGAGCCAAGATGGAAATACGCTATAGCATAACAGGACCTATGGCTACAAAGCACAAACGCTTCTCTCTCCCATCAGTAGCATACTAATCCTTGACACAGAAGATTCTAAGGGTAGGTGGGAAAATGTGGACCCACTGCCTCAGAGAATTCCAGTCCTGGGTGGAGGGCACAGTAGGGCTCCAGACAAAGCAGACATAAAAGAGGGGAGCTGGCTAAAGGCAGTTCTCTACACCACTGAGTGAGAGCTCTGGAGACCCTTCTAGAAGCAAGCCTGCCTACCTCAGTATGACCAGCAAGGCGCTGGGCTACACCTCCTGGAGAAAAGGTTTGTTTAGTACCAAGCTGACAGATCACCAACACCAAGCCTACCCTGTGACAAGAGAAGGTTCAGTCACTCTTGTGCATATATAAGTTTTCAGCTTCAGACTAGCATGGAAATCTGAATGCTTGTGCCTGTTGAATGTCTAGACTTGGCTGTTTGTTTTGACCCAAGTAGATCCTCCTGGATTTTCTGCGGTTTAATCCTCACTTGCATAAGCTCTGATTTAGTTTGCTCAACTGGACTGCAGAAATCTTGAGAGGTTGCTAAAATCTGCCTTTTGAGCATCTTTCCATCTTCTCTTAATTGCTGTTCCTTCTCTGTGATCCCTTAGCAGAGATCGCTCCTTACTGTTAACTTTCTGGGTTTGTTTTGATTGTAAGACCGTCAAGGGCAGCCATGTCTTATACCTCTGTCTTCCAATGAAGGAAGGGCACATAGTAAGTGTGTATATTGAATGAATGAATAAACAAACAAATAAATACAAATGCCCAAAGTAAGGCAAACTCACCGACCCAGCAAGGACACATCCTTCTGAGAGGCACGGCAGATACACGAGCAGCTGCTGCATGCAGAGAGGTGCTACTAGAGATGCAAAGAGGAAACAAAGCTATTTTGATATCAGTTAACCAAAAAGTGAGGAGTCGCTTATCACTGGGGGAGAGTGAGTGAATGTGTTCTGTGGATTAAACAGCATTCCATGTTCTTTGCCAAGTTGACCATAACCTACCTGTGAAGTAAACCTCAGATCTGCCAATGGTCAAAACTTCTCAAAATTAATTTGTAACAACTATTTTTCATTTTGGAACCATCACAGCGTCCTGCATCAGGCATGTCATTTTAAGCTAAATTTCTAATAAACACTTCCCAACTACCTTCCTTCCTGGAGAACTACCATGACCCCTTTGCTCCCCAGGAATTCTAAGATGTCACAGAAGGCCCACTGTCTGAACATATTTGTGGTGAGTTCCTTTTATTAGCTATTAGAACAGCAATCGTACCCCCCACTGGCCCCTAATCAGTCATTTTTGCTAAGTCTCGAAGCAATACAAATTCTGCTCTAATCAATTAGCGACACATTTCTAACTCCTGGCACTTGGAAGAGGAGCAGACCTTGGGGGTGGGGGGTGTAAACCTTGAGAACAGGCGAAGAAGGGGCAGCCTGGGAAACCCCTTCCACCTTTGTGCTGTGCTTCAACCAAGAAGCCTCAACTTGGGAGAATGGGAGAACCAATTAGGACAAGTTTCTGATTGCACTTTTCACTCAAGCTGATGAATGAAGCACAGGACAAAGAGAAGCAGCTGGTGGAACATTCTCTCCACTCAAGCAGGAAGCTGAAGGTTGGCTCTTGTGATTTGCATCTGGCTAGGATGTCCCCTAGCCCCCCTGCCCCAACCCCAACACTGGGCAGTCAACCTCGTCCCCAGCCTCCTGCTCAGTCCCCCTCCTCCTCTCCCCCTCAGCTCTTCCTTACTGAATAGAATTTCTTCCTTCTCTAATCAACACACCCCAGGAGAATAAAATTTGTTTTTCAGGTGAGGGCGATGGTTAAGAAGAAAGGAAGGAAGGGAGCAAGAAGAAAGAAGAAAAGAAAGCAAAGCCTATGTAGGGTCTAACTGGAGGTAAATTCTCCAGTACATCAACCTGTAAAATCTGAGAAATGCCTAAGCTTTGGACATCTCGACCTATTCTTGGACAGAGTGTTTGCTTTAACTTTAGGATTGGCTTGGTTTTGTTTTCAGTGATGATTGAATCAAAGGACTCAGAGAAATTAGATTTTCTTTAAATGGCAAAAAGGTCCACTGTGTGCCAGACTTCTTAAAACAAACCCAAACCGCTAAGTGAGCTAAGGCACGTGTAAACGCTCGGGAAGTCGGGTTGTGTGAGAAGGGACGGCATATTCCTAACCTCAAAAATACAACCAAAAATAGACAATCCTTTTGGATCAGGTGAGAAACATGGGGGAAGCAAAAAAGGCCCACAGTAGATGACAGGACCCTGGTCAGAGCTCAGAGGACAACAGTGGCCATATCCCACTTTCTGAGGATGGCTCCTGGCAGCTGCATGGAGCCTTGCCAGGTAGTGGGAAGGGGAGTGAGGGGTCGGCATGGGGATGCCCTCTGAGCCTGCCCCGCTTCCTCCCAGAAGCACAGTGTGCTCTTGGGATGCCGGCCACTCCTCCCTGGCATCCCTCCATCCCTGCCCCGTGCATCCAGAACTATTTGCAACTTGATCCCCAATTCAGGACAAGAAGCTTCTAGAGGGTAGAGACCCCATCTGGTGCTAGCGCTAACCTTCACAAACACATCCTTTCTTTCTCTCTCTCTCTCTTCCCTTTCTCATCCTGCCTTTAGCATTTAAAAAATTTAATCTCTGTACTTTATTTGTTCCTTCCCTTCCCTTTGGCACCCTCTTTTCTTTCTTTTTCAACCGTACAAAATTGGCTAAGGGAGGTGGTTTTAACTTATGAGTAGTTCATAAGGACCCTGGGGCTTTGAAATTCAGAGAAGGAAGGAAAAAGGGAAGAAATTCAGAGTCTTTCTTAGCTGAGGGAAGGGGTAGACAAGCCAGAGTCAAAGAGACAGCGGAGAACTCGAGAACCCTCAGTGGAATTCAGACTATAGCATGGGACTGGGGAGTGGTGTGAAACGCAGTTTTTTGCGCCAT